CTGGCTGAGCTTTAAGGTCCCTTCCAGCCCAGCCCAGTCTGGGATTCCATGATTCTCTGCTGTGCCAATGTCGGTCCCTCTCCACTCCTCGTAGGTGGCCGTGACGCCCTGTTCCATGGCCCACGTTGAGCTGTGACCCCTCGCATGCTCCACCTCCGGACCAAAGGCACTGAGGAAGAGCAGCCCGTGAGGGACCTCCCCGAGCCGGCTGGGCAGAGGCTGCTCCCCCCGCAGCGACTCCTGGAGCACCCCTGGGTGCCCAGTGGCCATGGGCACGATGCTGCCGCCATCACAAAGCCCCAGTGATCTGTGGGGTGGTCTCTGGTGGCTGTAGCCCCTGTTTGAGGCCTCCATTTGTCCCCTGCAGAGCTTGGGCGCATTCCCATGAACCTCCAAATCCCCCTAAACCTCCAGTTCCCTTCCGAACCCCAAATCCCTTCCATTTACTGCCATGGGCCAACAGGGGCACTGAAGAGTCAGGGTACTCTGGGTCAAATGTAACCCCTGGTTTTGGGACACTGGCTGTTCCCCAAATGCCTGCACCACCCCAGGGAGCTTTGGGAAGCTCCCCCAATGCCGAAATCCCCTTTGAACCCCCAAACTCTTCCCCTCAACACATCTCCATGCTGGGGGAATGTTGCTCACCCAAAAGCGACTGAGGGGGCCCTGGGACCCAGGTACATGGGAGATCTCCCAATATAATGTGCCTCCTACAGCTCATTTTGGGGATCCCCCCCTGAACCTCAAAATGTTCCTTGAACCCTCAAATCCCTCTGAACACCCAAATTCCTCCCGCTTGTGTCAATGGGGCTCCCTAGGGCATCCAATGAGATTCGGCTGCCCTGGGATTGATGGACCCCTCAGTCTCGGTAGACAGGGAGTCCCCCAAATAAATGAGCCACCCCAAAGAGTTTTGTGGACCAGCCTGAATTCCCAAATCCTCCCTGCATCCCCCCAAATCCCCCCAAACCCAAAGCCCACAGCTCCAAAGCCGCCCTGGCTCAGCACAGTGGCACAGACTTGCTAAAAAAGGGGTGTTCCGAAAAGTGGTGTTCCCCCAACACCTGCCCTGGGGATCCATCAAGATGCTCTGGAACCCCGAACACACTGGGGGGACCCCAACATTGCTTTCGGTTCAGTAGTGAATTAGGTGGGCCTAAGGGGGTGGATCCCCCAAAAGGGTCACCCCAATAAAGGGGCAAACCAAAACCACACTGCACCCCAAAGGGCCCTGGAGGCACCCAAAGCAATCGTGCTGCCCCTAAATCCTAGGGTAACCCCAAATCTCCCTGAAGCAGCACAAAAGCAGGCAGGACCCCCAAGTGGGGGCCTGGGGCAGCACAAAAGTCACCCACACACTTCCATCACCCCGGGCCCCCCCAGATGAACCCAGGGACCCAAAACCCTGGAGGAGCCCCACCAAACACCCGCCCCCAACTGGGGTACCCCAGAAAAGCTGCTCCCCCCTTCCAATGCCGCCCAGCCCCAAATTGCTCCTCGTTGCCCCCAAACCACACCCCATGGGGCACCCCAGCTCCCCCGTCCCTGGTATCAGGGAGTTGGGGGCGCCAGCCCCAGAGTGGGGGTTGCCTAATTTGGGATGTCCCACCAAAAGACCAGGGAGGTGTGGTGGGGGATGGAGGGCAGGAAGCTCTGCAGAGGGATCTGGACAGGCTGGATCCATGGGCTGTGGCCAATGTGTTGAGGGTCAAGAAGGCAAAGTGCAGGGTCCTGCGGTTGGGCCACAACAACCCCCTGCAGTGCTCCAGGTTTGGGGAAGAGGGGCTGAAAACTGCTCATGGGAAAGGAGCTGGGGGTGCTGATTGATGGAGCTGAACATGAGCAGCTTGTGCCCAGGCAGCCAGGAAGCTCCCAGCATCCTGGCCTGGATCAGCACCAGTGTGGCAGCAGGGCCAGGGCAGTGGTGGTGCCCCTGCACTGAGCACTGAGGCCGCACCTCGAATCCTGGGTTCAGCTCTGGGCCCCTCACTACAAGAGAGACATTGAGGTGCTGGAGCGGGGCCAGAGAAGGGCAATGGAGCTGGTGCAGGGCCTGGAGCACAAATGTGATGGGGAAGGGCTGAGGGACCTGGGGGGGGACCTGATCGCTGCCTACAACTGCCTGAGAGGAGGATGGAGCCAGGAGGGGCTGGGCTCTGCTCCCAAGGAACAAGGGATGGGACAAGAGGAAATGGCCTCAAGCTGCACCAGGGCAGGTTTAGATGGAGCTGAGGAAGAATTTCTCCGGGAAGCTAGGGACCAGGTTAGGAAAGCTGAGACCCAGTTAGAATTCAGATAGGCTCGGGATGTTAAGGATAACAGGAAGGGATTCTTCAGGTATGTAGCAAATAAAAAACAGACTAGGGACAACACAGCCCCCTTCCGGAAGCTCTCGGGAGAACTGGCTACACGGAATTTGGAGAAGGCTGAGGTTCTGAATGACTTCTTTGCCTCGCTCTTCACTGGCAAAGGCTCTGACCACACCACCCAAGTCTTGGAAGGCAGATGCAGGGACTGTGAGAATGAAGACCTTGGGCCCACTGTAGGAGAGGAGCTGGCTCGAGACCATCTTAAAAATCTGAACGTGCACAAGTCCATGGGGCCTAATGAAATCCATGCATGAGTCCTGAAGGAGCGGGCGAATGAAGTTGCTAAGCCACTGGTCTTCATATTTGAAAAAACATGGAAGTCAGGTGAAGTTCCTGACGACTGGAAAAAGGGAACTATAACCCCCATTTTCAAGAAGGGGAAAATGGATGACCTGGGGAATGACAGAGCAGTCAGTCTCACCTCTGTGCCTGGCAAAAGCTTGGAGCATTCTCCTGGAAGGCATGCTAAGGCACATGAAAATCAACAAGGTGCTTGGTGACAGCCAGCATGGCTTCACTGAGGGGAAATCCTGCCTGACCAATTTGGTGGCCTTCTATGATGGGGCTACAGAACTGATGGACAGGGGCAGAGCAGTTGATGGCATCTACCTGGACTTGTGCAAAGCGTTTGACACTGTCCCACACGACATCCTCGTCTCTAAATTGGAGAGACATCAATTTGATGGATGGACCACTTGGTGGATAAAAAACTGGCTGGATGGCCGCACACAGAGAGTTGTGGTCAATGGCTCAGTGTCCGGCTGGAGACCGGTAACGAGTGGGGTCCCTCAGGGATCGGGGTTGGGACCGGTCTTGTTCAACAGCCTGTGGCCGTTACAGGGGGCGGAGTCAGCTGAGGGGAGCGGAGGGGGTTACTCTCCCACCCTGCGCTCTGATTGGCTCCGTGGCGCAGTGCGCGGGGCCAGGGGCTGATTGGCTGCCGTGGAAGTGGGCGGGGCGACAGGAACAGAGCGCGCATTGGCTGGGGGGGGAAAGGAGGGAGATGGGGGGCGATGGGACCCCTATGGACCCCTATAGAACCCTATGGGGCAGGGACAGGTTCACACCCACTGCTGGCTCCCCCCATGGCTTTATATGGGGGCAATGGCGGTAATGGGGCAATAGGAGCAATTTGGGGTAACGGGGGGCAATGGGGGTAAAAGGGGGGTCTCGGGGTCTCGAGCTCTGCCCCCTGCATCCTGGTACTGGAGCTGCTGCTGCTTCCCCCTCCAAGGGACTCGTAAAGAGACACCCCCTCCATGGTCATGATGGGCGGATTGACTCCACAACTCATTAAAAGTTGTAAAGTAGGTATGCTTTTTATTCAGCGCTGAGACGCACGGGGATAATTCCTCAAAGTCATGCGTACCTCAGTGTTGTTTCCCTCTACATTTATTCTCTAAAGTTATATATATTCATAAGGTTGCACAATACGCCTATACATATTCATGTCCTATCCCTGCTTCGTATTATAATGAGCCAGAAGGTCCTCTGCGCCTGTGCAGTGCCCCCTCTGGTCATGGGCAGGGGTCTTCAAGATGAAGTAAATGAGTCTTCCTCTTCTTGCACTTTTCACCTTTTTAGTCCTATGTGTGGCCTTAGAGTTTGGTCAGTGTCCCAGCCGTAAATCCTCTACTTCTCCCCTTTATCAGTAGAGTTTGATCAGTGTCCCAGCCATAAATCCTCTGCTTCTCCCCTTTATCAGTAGATTCAGGCGTCTGCTTATTAACAGGACCGGAGGTCTCTGTTCTGCTTAGCAGGCATTTACAATAGATAGTCCTTTTGTTTAAACAAATTCCTCTAACCCCCTTGTACAACCCCCCTGTATAAATCCCTTGTACAATGGTCAACCCTCTGTATCAGTCAGACCCTGCAGGAACCCATAGAGACCCCATAGGGAGACCCATAGAGGCCAAACAGAGAGACCCATAGAGACCATATAGATCCACAGCCCACAGAGACTCATAGAGACCCCACAGAGACTCATAGAGACCCATAGAGATCCATAGACACCGCAGAGATCCTGAAAGCGACCCAAAGTGAACCATAGAGACGCCCCGTAGAGACCCCATAGAGACCCCATAGAGACCCATAGACTACAGGCACTACAACCCTGATCATGCAACGCGGCACCCATAGAGCCCCTTTACGGTGGCGCCCAGCCGGGACTACTACTCCCATCATGCAGCGCGGCACCCATTGAGCCCTGTTATGGCGGCGCCCAGTTATGACTACAACTCCCATCATACCCCGCGGCTCCCATAGAACACCATTATACAGCCGCCAGGCGGTACTACGACTCCCATCATGCCGCGCGGCAAGCATAGAGCACCACGAGGGCGTCGCCCAGCCTGGACTACAACTCCCATGATGCAGTGCGACACCCCTGCAGCACCACTAAGGCACTGCCCGGCTTGGACTACAACTCCCGTCGTGCCGCGCGGCGCTCCCAGCGTTTCAATTTTGCCCATCATGGCAGAGCTGGAGTTGCCCTCCGATCCCGAGCTGCGCAGGTTGGAGCCCGCGGGACCCCCCAGTGGGGGCTTTTGGGGTCCTGGGGGGGTTGGGGTGCTCCTGACCCCCTCTCTTTGTCTCCCCCCCACCTCCAGGCTGTGCACGGGGCCCTGTGCCCCCATCCGGGAGTACATCATGGGCCATGTGCGGCACCCGCGGTGAGGGGGGCACCCCAACATCTTGGGGGGAGGAACCGCAACATCTGGAGGGACCCCAAACCTCGGATCGGTCCCTAAAATACATGGGGGGGGGGTGTGTTCCTATAGGAATGTGAAGAAGATCAAAGGGAACCTGCTGTGGTATCCGCTGCACCCAAAAAAGGGGTGGGGACCCAAAGCTGCCCCCTCTGGGGACCCCCAAGCTCCTTGGAGAGCCTCCAAAATCCCTCCAAAATTGCATTGGGATCCCAAGACCCACCCCAGCACCCCCCAATTCCCCCTGTGACCCCCCCCAACCTCTTTTCTCCTCCCAAATCCATGCACAGGAGCCCCAAATTCCTTTAGGACAACTCTAAATCCCATTGGGATCCCCAGGAACCCCCAATTCCCTCCCATGACACACCCACCGACCCCCCCCAACTCCTCCTTTAACCCCCGTTTCCTCCTTAACTCGGGGCTCAGGTACCGGCACCTCGAGGAGATTCAGGTTTGGGGGGGGGAGGGTTTTTGGGGGGCTGTATGGGGTTTTGGGGGGTCCCAGAGGGACGGGGGGGGGGCAAGATTTGGGCGGGGGTGCAAATTTCAGGGGTGGTGGAGGGAGAAAAATGGGACTTAAGGATAGGGGGGGTGGTGTCCTCAGGTGACCTTTGGTGTCTCTCCCCAGCGAGGGGCGGGGTCAAGCACACCATATATGGAAGTGCATGAGGCCTTGGAGCAGGTAAGGGCGGAGCTTAAAGTGATGGGCGAGGCCGGGGCAGCGGTGCTGGAGCTGGGTGAGTTGACTGGGGGGTGGGATGGGGGGTAAAGGGGCGGGGCTACCGGTCACCTGACCTGAGGCTCTGCCCCCTTAGTTTCCTTGTAGAAGAGGAACTGGGGGCGGAGCGTCGCCGAGGGGCGGAGCTTCGCGCCCTGGGGGCGGAGTCGGCGCAGGAGGGGCTGTGGCTGCGGAGGGAGCTGGCCCAGATAAGCTCCGCCCACTCGTAAGCGAGGAGTGGGCGGGGCTTCCCCATGGGTATCCCAATGGGGGCGGGGGGCAGCATTCCCATGATGCTCTGCGCTTGCAGGGAGCCGGGGCCAAAGGTGGGACTAACGTCGAAATTGGCGGTAAGAAGGGGCGGGGCTTATTGGGAAGGAGGAGGGGCTTATGGACGGGGGAGGGGTCTGAGCTTGGCCACGCCCCCATTGCCCCGCCCGCCCTCCCCCCCAGGCCGTGTGCAAGCTGCGGGAGGAGGCCCTGGAGGAGCTTATGACGGGTGGGGCTTAGGGGGAGGAGCTTAGGCGAAGGGAGGGACTTAAGAAATGGGGCTTTGGGAGGGGGTGGAGCTTAGAGAAGGGGCAGAGCCAGTGGGCTGCTGGGGGTGTGGCTTAAAGGGGGCAGGACTTCCCTTATAAGGTTCTGAGGGTGTGGCCCCAGGGCACTAGGGAAGGGGCGGGGCTACCGGTGGGTGGAGCCAACAGAGGGGCGGGGTTGCGTCCTCCCTCCATTCCCCGTTGTTCCATTGCAGGAAGGGGTATCCCAAAATCAGCCCTGACCTTGACCCCAACCCTGACCCTGATGCTCAGCCCCCTATGAAGACCCTCATCCAGGTAAATGGGGAGACTTGAGGGGCACATTTGGGGGTGCTTTAGGTCTCGGAGCTCCCCATTGATGTGGGATCCCCCCTTTGCACCTCCCAGGACTGCTGGGTGGATGTGGGGGGACTCTGGGACTCTCCACTCCTTGGCTTCCCGCCTGTCCCCCCTGAAGCTCCGGCTCCTCCAGCTGCCGGTGGAGATCCCGCAGCGCCTGGAGGGGGACCCCAAAGCCCAGCAGGCTGCCAGGTAAAACCCTGCACCCCAAAACACCTCCCTGAACCCCAAAACCACCCCTCTGCACCCCAAAACACCCACTTGCACTCCAAAACCATTCCCCCTGCACCCCAAAGCACACCCCCTGCATCTGAAAACACCCCCTCTGCACCCCAAAACCATCCCCCCTGCACCCCAAAACAATCCACTACATTTCAAACCACCTCCCCTGCACCCCAAAACCTTATCCCCTGCACCTCAGAACACACCCCCTGCACCCTAAAACCACCCCCATGCACCCCAGAACCCACACGGCACCGCAAAACAACCCCCCTGCACCCCAAAACCTCCCTATGGAGTCCCTCATGCACCCAAAACCCTCTCACGGACCCCCTGAATGCGTCCTGCAGCCCGGTTTCCCCCCCTGCACCCCAAAACTGCCCCTGGGTCCTCCCCCATAACTTTTTCCTCCCCACTCCTGAACCTCAGAACCCTTTAGGGACTCCCTCTGTACTTTAAACCCCACTGGGTTTCCTTCTGAAGCGGGTGCTGGGCTCATAGGGGTCCTTAAAGCCCCCCAGATTCTCCCTAAACCCAGTGCTGGGACCTTTTGGGGTGCCCCCAATCCCTCCATGGTCCCTGCAGTCCTTTTATGGTCCCGTCCCCCCCCCCAAAAAGGGTTCTTGAACCCCTTTGGGCCTCCCAAACTCCCCTCAACGTTTGGCTTTGGGGCCTCATTGCCCCCCAGGTCGATGCTGGAGGCCGCAGGGCTCTCAGGGGCTCGGGACGCCCTGATCAAGCAGGTCCTGGAGCTACGGGGCAGCCCCATGGACTCCCCAGAAGCTGCCCTGGGGCCACTGAGGAGGCAGCTGCAGGAGGGGAAGCAGCGGCTGGTGGGTGCCAACGGGGGAATGTGGGGATTTGGGGGGGGTCCTGATGGGCTTGGGGGGGGCTGGGGGGTGGAATCTGATGGTTATGGGGAGGGGTTGGGGTCCCTAAAGAGTCCCAGCACCACTTTTTGGGAGGGATGAGGGATATCTGGGGGTCCTGGAGGGGGATTTTGGGTCTATAGGGGATGATCTGGGGGAGTTTGGGGCTTTAGAGGGGATTTGGGGGATTCAGCATTGCTGGGAGGGGTATCTGGGGTTCTGGATTGGTTTGGGGTGAAGGGAGAGGTTTTGGGGAGAAATATGGGGCGATATTTAAGGTGTTTGGGGGTCTTGGGGGGTATTTGGGTCCCTCCCATGGCTTTGGGGTCCCTCATTTCCTTGTGTCCCCCCTCCCCACCCCTTCCAGTCCCGCCGCTGGATCCAGCTCCGGGCGCAGCTGTGCCCCCTGCAGGCCCAGGTGAGGAACGAGGGGGAGGGAAGTGGGGCGGGGCTTAATGGTGAGTGGGCGAGGCCTCAGAGCTTTGGCCACGCCCCTTTCAGGCCCGAGGAGCTGTGCGGCTCCCCCCAGGGCTGCAGGGGGAAGGGCAGCGGCTGCAGGTAGCGCTGAGCATGCTGGGAAAGGAGAGAGTGCCCCTCCCCCCGAGGTGAGTGAATTGGGGGGGGGGAGGGTGGTGGGGGAGGAGGGGGAAGGGCTGTGCTGACCCCTCCATTCTCCCTTTAGCCCCGCCCACTACCCACTGCAGCCAATCAGACCTGCCCTAGGAATGGCAGAGAGTGAGGTGGTGGAGGGGCCATAGACGGGGAGGGGAATTGGAAGGAGGGGCCATAGAGGGGGCAGGGGTCATAAAGAGGGGGAAGGCCATAAAGGGGGAAGGGCAATGCGAGAAGGGGACATAAAGGGGGGCGGGGCAATGGAAGGAGGGGACATAGAGGGGGGAGGGGCAATGGTGCCGTTGCTCAGGGGTGTTTGTGCCTCAGCCCCCACAGGGGGCGCTGTTGCGGGCGGCAGTGCTGCAGGGGGAGCTGGAACAGCTGCAGGAGGTGAGGTCAGCACAAGGGGCGTGGTCAGCGCAAGGGGCGGGACCCGGGAAGCCCCGCCCACCCCGCGGTGAGTGAGGGGGACGAGCTGGGGGGTGAGGGTGTGGCCTGCGCTGACCCTGTCCCTTTGCAGCACCCGCGGAGGGCGTGGCCATCGCCGAGCTCCTCCCCCAGCTGCAGGCGCTGTCCATTCGGGTCCAGCAGTACCTCGAGGGCTGGCCCCACCTCCAGGACGTCATCAGCCAATGGTGAGACAGCGAGGGTGGGTCTGTGAGAGGCCACGCCCACCATGTGTGATGTCACATTCCCCCTTCCCCCCTCCTTCGTCTCCCTTAGGTGGGAGCAGCCGGCTCAGTGGATACCAGCCACCCCCCCCAGCAACATCCCCTTCTCCCATTGGCTGAAGCGCTGGTCCCAGGCCACCCGTATCCTAAACTTGCACCGCCCCCTCCCCTTAGCGCCGCCCACCAGCGACAAGGAAGGGCGTGACCAGAGCAAGCCCCACCCCTGAGCCTCGGTTTCATCAGATGCTCCTATTGGATGGGGTGCAGGAGGCAGGGCTTGGAGGGGGGTGTGGCCACAAGGCTGCGGTCCTGGGAGTGGAATAGAGTAGGTCCTATAGAAATAGAGCAGTAAATAAAGCAGGTCCTCTGTTAATTACATGTAAATGAGGTTGCACCCATGTTAATGAGATGCAAAGCAGGTCTTGTGTTAATAAATTCGTCCCGCCTGCAGTAACAGCATGTCAGCAGAGCAGAGCCTCCAATAACAATGCACAGATAACATGTGGCCTACAGTAACACATAAATAAAGCAGGTCCTACAGTAACGAAAGTGTAAACAAAGCAGGTCCTGACATACTAAATTCCCTTATAAAGCACGACCTACAGTAACAGCCTGGGAATAAAGTAGGACGTACAGGAATATGTAAATTAGACAGGCTCTATGTTAATGACAGGTACATAAAAGTAGATCCTACATTAAGAACTTGTAAATAAGTTACTCAGTAAAGCGGGTCCTGACATCACAACCACCCCCAATACAGTAGGTCCTACAGGAATGAAACTGTAAATACAACATGTAAATAAAGTAGGCCCTACATTAATAACTCCCTCAAAAAAATGGGTCCTACAATAATACCTCCTCGATAAAGTAGGACCTACAATAAGGGCCCATAAATGAAGTAGGTCCTGCCCCAATACCCTGTCAATAGAGCAGATCCGACAGCAACTGTACATAAAATAGGTCCTACATTAATAAGTGAGTAAATACAGGAGGTCCTGGCACAGCACCATGTAAATACAGGAGGTCCTACAGTAAGAACGTGCAAATGCGAGTGGCTCCATGTTAATAACATGTAAATAAAGCAGGTCCTCCACTAAAAGGACGCAAATTAAGTAGGCCCTCCATTAATAACATGTAAATAAGGAAGGGTCTGTGTTAGTAACATGTAAATAAGTTCAACCCTACATGAACTGCGTGTGAGTAAAGCAGGTCCTACGCTAACTGCATGTAAATAAGGGGGGGGGTAACGATGGTGGGATGAGAAATGGGGAGGGATGGAGGGAGAGGGGGAGAAATGGCAGGAATGTGGGGAATGGGGGTGGGAAAAAGGGGAGGGTGAATGGGGGGCATAAGGGGGGGAGGAGAAGAGGGGACAAATGGGGGGCAGGGGCAAGGAAAAGCCCCATATTCAGGGCCATGGGGGGGGCAGCCGGGACGGGGTTAAATGGGGACACGAGTTGGGGAGCTCAGAGCTGATTGGCTGTTGACTGGGCAACGGTCGCCAGAACGAGGCGGGGGGCGGGGGCAAGGTTGCCTGGCAACGCGCAGCGCGGTGGAAGCTCACTGGCCGTCACCTGGCAACGCAGGGGAAGCGGTACGCGGAGACCCCGTTGCCTAGCAACCAACCCGGAAGTGCGGCGAGCATCACCGAACGGGGATGGGGAAAGGCCGAAATTTGGGAGCTAGGGGGGAAAAGAGGCCTCGATTTCCTGTGAAATCTTTATTTATTGGTTAATTTTCCTTTTTATACAGTCTTAAGGTGACGCCTCCCGCCTTCCCTCCCCTTCCCCCCTCCCCCCCCCCCGCTATTTACATTGGTGTCAACAAGGCTTCGGATCGACCCCCCGCCATCCCCCCATTTTGGAAGCTGAGGGCACCCAGGGGTGCTCCGGGAGTCGCTGCAGGGGGACCAGCCTCTGCCCAGCCAGCTCGGGGAGGTCCCTCACGGGCTGCTCTTCCTCATGCCTTTGGTCCGGAGGTGGAGCATGCGAGGGGTCACAGCTCAACGTGGGCCATGGAACAGGGCGTCACGGCCACCTACGAGGAGTGGAGAGGGACCGACATTGGCACAGCAGAGAATCATGGAATCCCAGAGTGGGCTGGGCTGGAAGGGACCTTAAAGCTCACCCAGCTCCAATCCCCAAAGGCACGGGCAGGGAAACCTTCCACTAGAGCAGCTTGCTCCACGGCCCTGTGTCTCTGTGCACTCCCAGGGCATCCTGGGGATACCCCTAGAGAATCCCAGAGAATGCCTGCAGCAGCTCCAGAGCACCCCATGGACCCAGTCAGAGCTCATGCATCACAATGACCTTGGGGACATGGAGACCACAGGGGTGGCTGATTCTGGAACTCCCCGTGTTCAGGTGTGTGAGGTCACAGAACCCCACAGAACCCTCCAGCAGAGGCACCGGGAGACGACAGCTGCCCCACGGAACACAAGCTACTGGTGGAGGAGGCAAGAGCAGCTCCTCTGGTGGTTCCTGTCTTGGTGTCTCGGAGCCGGTGCCGCCTGTGGACACAGGAGCGTGGAAGGAGGTGGGTGGCGATGGCGATCTTGGGGTGCTGTAGGAGTTTCCAGAACACCTCAAGAGACTTCCCCAGAGTGGCTGCCGAGGGATGATCCTGGGATCTGCCCTCATTTCTTGTGGGGAGAGCAAGGGCCTGTGGGGATGGGACAAGGGGGAACGATTTTAACGTGACAGAGAGGGGAGATTGAGATGAGATCTTAGAAGTTGTTCCCTGTGAGGTGGTGGGACAGTGGCACAGGGTGCCCAGAGAAGTTGTGGCTGCCCCATGGCTGGCAGTGTTCAAGGCCAGGTTGAATGGAGCTTGGAGCAAGCTGCTCCAGTGGAAGTTGTCTCTGGCAGTGGCAGGGGTTGGAGCTGGAGGAGCTTTAAGGACCCTCCGAATCCAAACCATTGTGTGCTTCCGTGATATCCTCAAGTCCCCTGGGGGGAAGTGAGTGAACAAGCTGTCTGTCTGCGTTTAAACCAGGACAGCAAGGCAAGGCAAGGCAAGGCAACGCCAGGCGAGACCAGGCCAGGAGATGCAAGACAAGGGAAGGCAAGCCCCATGAAGGGAAGGCCAGGCCAGGTCAGGAAAGGAAAGGCAAGGCCAGTTAAGGCAAGGTAAGGCTAGGCAAGGCAAGGCTAGTCCAGGTCTAGACAGGCCATGTAAGGCCAGGCAAGGCCAGGTAAGGAAAGGCCAGGCAAGGCCAAGCAGGTCAGGGAAAGGCCAGGCCAGGCCAGGCTAATAAAGGCAATGCAAGGCCAGGAAATCACAGGGAAGGCAAAGCCAGGCCAGGCCAGAAAAGGCCAGGCCACACAAGGCCAGGCCAGGCAAGGCCAGGGAAGGCAAGGCCAGGCGAGGCCACTCCAGGCCAGGCAATGCTAGGCCAGGTAAGGCAGGGTAAAGCAATGCAAGGCACGGCCAGTCGAGGGCAGGCAACCCAAGGCCAGGTTAGGCCAGGTAAGTCAAGGCAAGCAAAGACCAGGCAAGGCAAGGCAAGACAAGGCAAGGCAAGCGAAGGCAAGGCCAGGCCAGGGCAGGCAAGGCAAGGCAAGGGAAGACAAGACAAGGCAAGGCCAGGCCAGGCCAAGCCGTGCAAGAGAAGACCAGACCAGGCCAGGCAAGGCAAGGCCAAGCAAGGCAAGGCTAGTCCAGGACTGGCCAGTCTATGCAAGGCCAGGGAAAGGCCAGGTAAGGCAAGGTAAAGCAAGGCAAGGCCCATACAGTAGTAGCAGTGCAGGACAGGTAAGGGCAGGTAACGCAAGGCCAGGACAGGTAAGGCCAGGCAAGGGCAGGTAAGGTCAGCCCAATCAAGGCCAGACAGGGCAAGGCCAGGCCAGGTTAGGCCATGCAAGGCAAGGCTAGGCAAGGAAAGGCAAGGCCAGTCCATGCCAGTCTTGGTCAGGCTATACCAAGCACGGCCAGGCAAGGCCAGTTCAGGCAAGGCCAAGCAGGTCAAGGCCAGGCCAGGCCAGGCCAGGCCAGGAAAGGCCAGGATAGGCCAATCATGGCAATGCAAGGCCAGAAAAGGACAAGGAAGGCAAGGCCAGGCCAGGCCAGGCCATGACGGGCCAGGCCAGGCAAGGGAATTCAAAGCAAGGCAAGGCACGGCCAGGCCATGTCAAGCCATGCAAGGAAAGTCAAGACCAGGCCAGTCAAGGCAAGGCAACCAAAGGCAAGGCAAGGCAAGGCAAGGCCAGGCTAGGCCAAGGCATGCAAGGCAAGTGCAGACCAGGCCAGGCAAGACAAGGCAATGCAAGACAAGGCAAGGCAAGGCAAGGGAAGACCACTCCAGGAAACGCAATGCCATGCCAGGTAAGGCTATGCAAGGCAATGCCAGGCAAGGCAAGGAAAGGCAAGGCAAGGCAAGGCAATGCCAGGGAAGGCAAGGAAAGGCAAGGCAAGGCAAGGCAATGCTAGGGAAGGCAAGGCAAGGCAAGGCAATGCCAGGGAAGGCAAGGAAAGACGAGGCAAGGCCCAGCAAGGCAATGCCAGTCCAGGACGGGCAATGCAAGGCCAGCTAAGGCCAGGCAAGGCAAGTTAAAACAAGGCAAAGCAAGGCCAGGAGAGTCCATGCAAGGTCAGGCCAGGCCAGGCCAGGCCTGGCAAGGCCAGGCAAGATAAGGCAAGTCAAGGGAAGGCAAGGCTAGGCAAGGCAAGGCAAGGCACGGCCAGTCCAGGACAGGCAATGCAAGGCCTGGTAAAGCCAGGGAAGGCCAGGCCAGGCAAGGTCAGGCCACGTTAGTCAAGGCCTGGGAAGGCAAGGCCAGGACAGGTCATGACAGGCCAGGCCAAGCAAGGCAATTCAACTCAAGGAAAGTCAAGACAAGTCAAGGAAAGGCTAGGCAAGGAACGGGAAAGCAAGGCAAGTCCAGGATAGGCAATGCAAGGGCAGGTAAGGCCAGGCAAGGAAACACAAGGGAAGGCAAGGCAAGGCAAGGCAATGTCAGGCATGGCAAGGCCAGGCCAGGCAAGTCATGGCAAGGCTAGGCCAGGCAAGGCAAGACAAGACAAGGCAAGGCAAGGCCAGGCCAGGCCAGGCCAGGCCAAGCCATGCAAGGGAAGACCAGACCAGGCCAGGCAAGGCAAGGCCAAGCAAGGCAAGGCGAGTCCAGGACTGGCCAGTCCATGCAAGGACAGGGAAAGGCCAGGTAAGGCAAGGTAAGGCAAGGCCCATACAGTAGTAGCAGTGCAGGACAGGTAAGGCAAGGTAAGGCAA